ACACACACACACACACACACACACACACACACACACACACAAGAGTTTGTTCCTCTTTCACTGCCCAGATAAGAAAAGAAAAATGCTGATTTAGGACAAAAAAATAAAAAAATAAAAATTCCAAAAAGCCTTTGACATGATAACACTTTTAACACTTTGCCTGGTGATTTCTCAAAAGGTCCAGTTAGCTACTTAGCAGTAATTGTGGAAAGAAGAGCTCGTCCGCAGCTCACCATGTGCACTCAGCACATTCTGAAGCTCTGAACCGCACCGGGGCCGATAAACTCCAGCAGATAAGCACTGCAAGGGAACTGTTAAAGCTCAGAGATTCATTAGGATACGAGTTTAACTGGAGTTTTGCAGGAGTTGGAGCATTTACATAAAGAACTCCAGCCTCAGCATTAAACAAATTCAACTGCTGACATCATATAAATATTAATGATCTGTTTCTGTGTCCATCCGCCCTGCGTGGATTCCCCTCTGGGGTCCGGGCTGAATCACAGACCCCTCACATAAGTCCTGCAGGGTCTTACCTCACCCTGAACATCTGTTGCCCACCCCTGCATTGTGCTGGGGGAGGAGGAGGAGGGGGTCATAGACACCCACACCATCAGCCACAAGTCTGTCACTGCCTGCCAAGCATCTGATCAAAAASGACAGCTGTCGGAGGGAACGGCTCTGCACACCAGCCAGCGTGGYTGCATGAATGAAAAGCAGGCAAACATCCATCACCGCCATCATCAGCACAGTTCGATCCAGAAAAAAATGGTTGTGTTGATTGGTGGACAKCTGAGGCCACACAGCCAAAGCCTGAAGGATTAATCATAGCTTGCTACCCCCCCTCCTCACACAGCAGGAGAATTAGCAGATCACAGATGGTGATACTCAGAGGAGCGAGGGGACAGACAGACAGGAAAATGAACTAAATGAGACGAGTGATTTGTAAAGTTTTTGAGCGGTGCCAAGGGTCGAGACAAAATCACTTTCATCACTGCAAGTCTATTCTAATAGTTTACAAAATAATTAAATTAAATATATTACTGAAATATGAAAAAAGTGCATGTGACATATTTTTGTAAAAAAAAGTTCATTCATATTTGGAAATATATGTCGCCGAGATGAACAGTTGCTAAGATATTTGTATCTACGGAATATCTGTGGGACTGTCCATAGTTCTGAAAGTTCTACTTCAATGCAGCACTACAGGAGCTGTCCTTGGTTCTGAAAGTTCTACTTTATTGCAGCACAACAGGAGCTGTCCATGGTTCTAAAAGTTTGACCTTAATGCAGCACTACAGGAGCTGTCCATGGTTCTGAAAGTTCTACTTTAATGCAGCACTTTAGGAGCTGTCCATGGTTCTGAAAGTTCTACTTTATTGCAGCACAACAGGAGCTGTCCATGGTTCTAAAAGTTCGACTTTAATGCAGCACTACAGGAGCTGTCCACGGTTCTGAAAGTTCTATTTTAATGCAACACTACAGGAGCTGGCCATGGTTCTGAAAGTTTTACTTTATTGCAGCACAACAGGAGCCGTCCACCATTCTGAAAGTTCTACCCTAATGCAGCACTACAGGAGCTGTCCACGGTTCTGACAGTTCTATTTTAATGCAGCACTACAGGAGCTGTCCATGGTTCTGAAAGTTCTATTTTAATGCAGCACTACAGGAGCTGTCCATGGTTCTGAAAGTTCTACTTTATTGCAGCACAACAGGAGCTGTCCATGGTTCTAAAAGTTCTACTTTATTGCAGCACAACAGGAGCTGTCCACCATTCTGAAAGTTCTACTCTAATGCAGCACTACTGGAGCTGTCCACGGTTCTAAAAGTTCGACTTTAATGCAGCACTACAGGAGCTGTCCATGGTTCTGAAAGTTCTACTTTAATGCAACACCGCAGGAGCTGTCCATGGTTCTGAAAGTTCTACTTTATTGCAGCACAACAGGAGCTGTCCACCATTCTGAAAGTTCTACTCTAATGCAGCACTACCGGAGCTGTCCACGGTTCTGAAAGTTCTACTTTAATGCAGCACTACAGGAGAAAAAATGTAAAATGAAAGTTGAAGAAAAAAGCTAATAAAAGTAGTGGGATAGCCTCTGACCAAACCATCTCAGTCTGGCACCTGATGAGCTCATTCCTAATCTTATCCATCCCAAGGAGAACCTCAGCATCTTCAGCTCTGCCACTTCCAGTTCTGTCTCCTGTCAATTAGTCAGCATCTCTGTCTTCAAACAAGACAAGACAGCTGCTCTCTTGCAAACCTTTCTTTTGACCTTTGCTGCCATCCTTTTGTCACAAATCATTCACTGCCTGGATTTTCCAGGACAGTTGACTCGGCATATTCAAAGTCCTGCTTCCTTGTATTTTTACTGTCCCACCTGCTTTGCACTGTCTCACTACCAAAATACCCAAAAGATGTACTCAAGAGTAAAAAATATTTTTATAAAAAGGCTGAGTACTGAGTAACATCGGGTTTAATATTTTTACATTATCTCATCAGTAAGACAAAAAATATAAAATACAATACGCAAATTCTGGTGTTTTTAAAAACTAAAACGAAGAAAATTATTACAAATAAAAAGCACAATTACACATAATTTCTGCAGAAAAAACAATTTTCCAAATAAAATTCTTATTATTTAACTTTTGAAAGTAATATTTACAGTAGGCAATGTGTATACAAACATACAGACATAAAACAGCATTAGAACAAAGCTTGCCTACAAACAAGAGGTCTCACTTCACGTTTTTCTGGTGCATTTCTGGTTCATATATTTCAAATTCATTTAGTTAAGCTACGGTGGGTATTCAAAAAGTTTACTCAAGAGTAGTGATACTTTACTTAAGTAATGTAAAAAATACGGTGTCAAACTACTACTAAAAGTACATTTCTCCCTAAAAAGGTTACTCAAGTAAATGTAACTGAGTAAATGTAACAAGTTGCTACCCACCTCTGCTTGCTACGGATGACTTTTATTCCTCTCTTCTCACAGATCTGCTTGGAATTTCAACGTGTTAATCAGCCCATCCCCCAGGCAAATAAGAAGGGGCTCAGAACAGAGCCTTGATGCACTCCCACCTGTCCAAAAACATCCATTCCTCATGTGCAGTGCTTTGCAACTTATAAACTTATTTATTCCTATACGGAAGTAGATTTTTGCAGCATCATACAGAACTAGAGGTCAAAGTGTTAATGCTCCTTGGGAAAAAGCACTTACCCGTAGTCTGTGCAGAGTACACAGTTACCCCAGATCCAATTAAGGTGCATTACCACTTGGCTACAGCTACAATATTAAAACCAGTTTCTGAATTATTGGACCATGACTGATATGATATAGCAAAAGACTATTAAAAGAGTTTGATGTTCTTCTTTAAATTGCAACTAAAAGGAAATAACAGCAACAAAAAGACCTGGAAATTGTCAGATTGAGATTTTCTGAGCCGTTAGATCAGATGAGGTTATACAACTATAATTTGCTTCCTAGAATTTTGTGACAAGAATGACAGGAAGCGATGTAAAGTAATGAAGGAGCCGTTAAACAAGGTCACAACCAATTTAAGTTTTGACACAGTCTAATAACTGCAGCCTTTAGAGAGCGGACAGCTTCCCAAGGAGGCATAATTTAGCCTGACAGGTTGCTGAAATATGCTGATTTTACATGATGAAATTGCAAGCAAGGGTCAAATTTTAATTTATGACCAAAAAAGGTGGCAGCAAAGCCAAGTAAAGATGAATCTATTAAAAAAATCATACAAAATAAAAAAGGTGGAATAACAAAACCACAATTAGTGGTAATAAAAGCTGAGGATACACAGATTTAATATATTTCCTGGTAAGTTATACATAGTTTTTTTCTTTTAAATTTGTGCATTTTAGTCATTGGATATGAAATCATCTGAGGCCTCGACTTTCCCACAAACACTGAAAATAACCTGAGCCGTAAACCCACAAACCCCAATCTTCAATGGGCTAATTAGCTCCCATCATTCACCCAAAATGATTTGTTTTCTCAGCGTGAGCTCAGTGTGCTCACTGCAAACATGTAATAATGATAGACCCSCCCTCACTGTGTGATCAATCCCCCTGATAAATACTAACACACCTGCAGGAAGATCATCAAACCCATACCTCTCCAACCAAGAGTGACAAATTTCTCCGCGCAAATTCAATATTTGCAAAGCAAATTCTTTTAAAATTCAATCAAAACAGAATGCAAATCTCATCAAATATATTAGTTTCAGTATTTGATATGTTTATTATGCTCCACTGTGAATTAAATATGGATTTATGAKATTTGCAAACATTAACATTTTACACAAACCAACTTTTTTTTTTAAATCGGTCACGCAATCTTAATTTTAGTGCTATCGCTGCAGGAAATTTCAAAATAAAACAGCAGAGAAATTGTGCTTTTGTTAGAAAAACTTTTTTTTATTTCGAAGAAAACATCGWAGCCATATTACATGTAGTGTGGTCAATCTATTTTACATACCTCAGGAGAAGCGACACAGTTCTGCCATGGCTAAAGGGTCGCCACGAGTGGAACCGTTAAAACCATCAACATTTTCAGTCCTCTACAGCTGGAGGAGGTTATAGTAGTGTTGTTCAGTCTCACAAGTTTTACAGGACAGCATAAAAAGCACAACGACATGACGCAGTGAGGGACCAGTGCTCGAAAGGCCAGTGGCAAAAATAAAATAAAATAAAAACAAATGAAGTGACTTTCRGAGAATAGCTTCAGCAGACCCCCTCTGGTACAGTTATATATAGTTTTTTTCACTTGGTAACTCCTTGCAGTGTACACAAATACAGTAAGCTTCAAACACTAACCCAGGCTGTCTGTTAATGATCACAACCATTAAAACAAAACTGTGTCTATGAGTCTGAGGTAGCAAGGCAATCATGGCTTTACTCTGATTTCTCAACATATACCTCTAAAACAAACAAACCTTTTCTACATAAGAATAATGGGCCTCGTACAAAGCAAGGTTTAGGACAAATTCCATTTTAAATCTATATCGTCTTTATACACAACCCCAATATAATTCATCTGCTGACGTCTACTGTAGGAATGAAGGTTTTAGGCACAGAAGGGGTGAAATTTTACAGAAGAGAAAGTCTGTCGGCACATTGATGCTTTTAAAGGGGAATTTGACATCAAGCATGCTGCAGGACAGATTTCAAAAGTGACTGTACAATCTCTAAATTATCTTTTTTTTCTTTGTTTTTCTACCAACTGCGTGGACTCTCTAAACGCTCGGAAATTTAACGAGGAACAACAACAAAAAAAATAATAACATGATCGACAGCCGTGGAATGACAAAAATTGTAACAGTTTGATTTTCTTTTGAAGGCAGAAGTCAAACGTTGATCCCAAATCCCAAATCATTCATTTGAAAGAATATTTTTAACTGTACATTTAAATGTAAAAGGGAAAAAAAAAATAAAGACAAACGTTCAATGGAGTTCAGGAACACTCTACAGTTGCATAGTACAAGACAAGGTGGGAAAATCTGTTCGGTTGTTTATTCGTGTGCGTCTTTGGGATTTCGGGGCAGATTTTTTTTTCCTTTCAGTTTGGGAATGGTCGTGCATTTATGTGTGCTAACACACACACACCCCGTCAGCTGATACTGGTCCTTACATCACCTGAAAAACAAACAAAAAGCAGGAAAAAGGTGTCAAGACGGAGGGAAGATGTTAGCACAGATAAAGTGAATTACAGGTACATGAACACCCAGTAAAAGCTACTGCATCATGTTAGCTTGCCTTATTTCTCCTCATCAACTCACTAACCCAAACCCTTAATCATGTAGAAAAATAAGATGAAAATTGAACAAAAATATTTAGTTTTGAAAGCTGGTTAATGGAACCGAGTGGCTCCAAGCAGGTGCTGTTCATTAGCAGAGAAAGATGGAGGTTTGGAGTAGATAAAAACATATGTTCTCTTAAAAACAGGACATTAAAGTCTCAGTAAGCCCTGAAAAAACTAACAAACATATAGTTCATCAAGGACAAAAATGTAAAGAACAAACTATATGCCAACTGCAAATCTATTCATTTTTATTTAAAGCTCTAACCCTTGTTGAGGATCTAATTTTCGAAAAAGTCCAACTAATAGCACATTTCAGTTTTTGTAACATGTATATATAGTGAGCATGATTACCATATGTATTCACATATAAAGCGACCCAGACTTTTTTATTTTAGCTTAAAAAACAAAAAATCAAATCCTCGTGTGTAACGCTACCACTACTTTTGGACAGACGTCAGGATTTGTGAGACTAAGTGGTGCGCCCTCTGGTGGGGACACACACTTGTGGACGTGTTTGTTGCTGAGAGAATGGGCAGTGGGAGCTTATGGTTCTGCGTGACACTGAACAATCTGCTTTTACAAATMGGCAAGACGGACTTAGAACACGAACGCGCAACTAACGACCTAGTCTTCTTTTCATCGCCAAAAAAAGTTTCATTTTTCCTCCACTGACTCCGATGAGTAAACTACTACTGTTTATATGCTTTGTAATGCACAACGCAYGACGAGAGGGAGGAATTATTTCAGTTACATATAGATAAACCTAGAATTACAATAAATTTAAAGGACAGATGTACTTCAGTCCAAGGAATACGATTACGGAATACTCTGGATAGTGATTATAAAAATGCTGGCTCAATTAATTTGTTTAAAAGAATAATAAGAATAATAAAAAAATATTTGTTAAAGAAATATGAAATTCTATAATTTGTATTTATAAGAGCTGCTGTTTAGGAG